GTGGAGGGCAGCTGCTGGAGAAATCCCTCCATGGATGAATTCTTTGGACGAGAGTCTCCTAATGCCCGTCAGGTCCTGCAGATAGTAGGCTTAATTCTGTGCCTGTTGCAAAATTTGTGAAAACAAACCCAACCCATGAACCAAGAAACCCCCACATTTAAATCAGGAGTGAGGCTCGGTTTAATCAGTGGCTTCTCAGGCGGTTGTCTGATTATTTTGAAAATGCAGCATAAGTTATGAAGGCAATACAATATTATTGTTTTTCCTCCCCAGATACCCTGTGGTGCTATGGCAGCCACAAGAAATGTGATGAGAGCTGTCAGAGTTTTTGAATTTGGTGGCCCTGAAGTACTCAGACTGCAGTCAGATGTCTTAATTCCCGATCCAAAAGAAAATCAGGTAGGTGCGAGTCCTGTGAATGGAAGAATGATGTTGAACGATAACAGGTGCCTTCTGAGCAGAGTGAAGAATACAAACCAGAACTTTTCATCTTGAACATGTAGGTTTTGGTCAGCACATTCATACTGCCCGAGACATCACGTTTAAGAGATGTGGGCTACCTGCTCCATGTAAAGGATTTTCTGAAAGTGGCTTCAGTTCAACTCTGAATATTTGCTGACTCTGCTTAAGAATTTAGTTAAAATGCCGTGATACTGTGCTGTGAATCCATGTTCTAAACCTTTATTGCTTAAGAAGCATCTTTTGTTTTAGGTGTTAATTAAAGTCCATGCCTGTGGGGTGAATCCTGTCGAGGCATATATTCGTTCTGGAACTTACGCTAGAAAACCAGCTTTGCCCTATACTCCTGGCTCAGATGTGGCTGGTGTCATAGAAAGTGTTGGGGAGCACGTGGCTGCCTTCAAGGTATTTACACCCTGGGTTCTAAGCCCTTACTGTGCGTTGTACCCTCTGTGCGTGGTCGCCGTGCTGCTGGGATCGTGCAAGGTGTTGGGGATCTCCCGGAGTGCCTGGTGAGAGTGTGCGGCGGGGCGGGCTGGCCGTCCCAGCTGGGGGGGCCGGTGCCGTGGCCCCCGAGCCGGTAGGGCCTGAGCAGAGGCGCTGCAGTGGGTCTGCCGAGCCCCGGCACCGGCTCTGCGCAGGCTGGGTGCAGGACTCCTTAGGGCCCCGCAGAAGGATTTGCGGTTCCTGTTTGAGGTAATAATTTCATGCAAAGCTGAAAAATCTTCTGTAAAGTTTTCTAGGTGGAAGTAGCTTTTATTTTACTTATTTATAAAGCCCCATAAATTACATATTTTTTTTAAAATTCTTCAAATACTTTATTACTCTAGTCTAGTAATTTGACTTAGGTTTTCTCAGGGGGAAAGCCTTGGGACAGGGGAAGGCAATTATCAGTTTGCTAAAAGGTATCTATGAAATTTACTTGTTTTTAATGTCTGTTCTTCCCTTCAAGTCATTAGACTGTTGGTCTCAGACAAACATAAAAACTGCAGTTAAAATTGTGTCGGAATTTCCTGACTTGGAATTTAATTTATGTAACTGTTGTGGGAGAGATGAGAGGTCACGGGGTGTCCTAGGGGCATGTCTTTTTTCCATGCTTAAACAAAAATGAGAAATGCTTCTTTTGTGTTTGTAAAAGCTTCTGAGGTTTTGCGTTTGGAATTCTTTAGCGTTTGGGTTCATGAAGGTTAATGTTAGTGAGACGGTGGGTTTGTGTGTTACGCTGTAGAGCGGGGACTGTAATTGTGACACTTAAATGTGAGTGTATGAAATGATCTGGTTTGCATTGCACTGATTGTATGTATTAGCATTTATAAAAGTCTTCCCTGTGACAAATATAACGGGTTATTTTTAACAGGAGAGCTGTTAAGAACAGCCTGACCTTCTGTGAACTGGGTCTTGATATATACTGAGAAAATTAATTTCTCTATTTCCTTTCCCCCCTTTCTAGAAAGGTGACAGGGTTTTCACCATCGATACGATCTCTGGAGGATATGCAGATTATGCAGTTGCTGCAGCTGACAGGGTCTTTCCTTTGCCGGATAAATTGGACTTCAGGCAGGGAGCAGCGATTGGAATTCCCTACTTCACTGCTTATCGCGCTCTGGTCCAAAAGTAAGGTGCCAAGTCCAAGGTTGTGCATTTTCTGTTTGAATATTGAAATCATTGAAGCTCTTGTTTTCATTGCCCTGCAAAATGGTGGGAGATCAATGATTGGGAAATAATTAAAATGCTTAAGTTAAATTTGTTAAACTGGTGGAACTGCCAGTTAATTGTTACCTAGAAGCTGGTGACTGTAGTTCCCTGTCATTTTCTCCTAAGAGAACACACCTGGAAAGGCTTCTTCGATAAGTATTGTGTCGTAAAACGTGCAACTCATTTCCAGTACTCACTGGTGTTTTAGCTTGGGAGGAAAACCAGGCCCGGTTCTGGTGTGTTGCTGAGGCGGGCAGCGTGCCGTGGAGCAGGCCCACCTGGCTCCTGGGGCACTGGGGGCAGCAGGACGGTGCAGGCAGGAGGAGCTGGGCCTGCCTGTCAGCTTAGGGCTGGAGGTCTGGTTTAGTGTCGCAGAACGAGTGATTAGAACTGGTGGGGGTTAGTTTAAGGTCTGTAAGAGGTGAAGATGTTGAGGTTCAGTACCAGACCGTTGCTGCTACTTGCACCTTGTGAAGAACTGCGTGCTTCTTCATAAACGACCCGGTTTATTTTGCCTCCTTGTTTCCCCCAGGAGGCTGATTACCCCTGTTTAGCCCTAACATAAAGTGGAAATAGTACTGGGTGGAAGGGGTGTGATGTCAGTATATGCAGTCTGATGCTTGATGGTTGTGTGCTGCAGTCGTGATGCCAATATTTTATGTTTCTCCATGCAGAGGGCGTGCCAAAGCAGGGGAGACTGTCCTAGTGCATGGCGCCAGTGGGGGAGTAAGTATTTTGAGCAGACAAGTTATAAGCAATGCTGCTTTCTGTCCTTGTATCTGCTTTCATCTGTGATATGGTTTAATGTCACGTGTATATCAATGGATTAAGAAAATCAGGTTTTTATTTCAGAGGCTTTAGAATACCTTTTCCTTAGAGCAAACCCTGTTACTCCAAACAGCTGTGAAACTGCACGAGCAATTGTGTGAGACCCCTCCTCACAGCATGTCCCATAATGAGCACGTTGTCACAGTCGGAAGTGGGAGGCTTTCTAACTGGTCTTCCGGAGGTATAACTACGAGCAGAAAGCTGTGATTTTGAAACATGTGCACGTTGCTGTCAGTTCTGTGAGCCGCGGCCGCAGCGGCGATGGGTTTCCGGGTGGTTTTACCCTCAGCTAACGGCGAGGGGCAGGGGTGGGGCTGGGGTGTCTGAATCCAGGGCTGGGTGCTGGGTGACACTGAACATTCCCTTTGCTGTGGCTTCACGTGACAGGCTGACTTCATGTCTCTTTTACACCACATTCTGGTTCGATTTATCCCCCATACTCGGTGTGTTGTTGCTCAGCTTCTGGTGACGCTCCAAACATTTGCTGTAAAGGGGCAAAGTCCTTCGTTATTTGGTCACAGCAGAAGGGTGATCATGACACTTGTGTATGAGGAGGAGTTCAGATCTCATTCCAAGATACTACATTCAGCATGGTCGCCGCTTTTTTTTTTTTTTTTTTTTTACCCTTAAGGTAAACATACTGTTTCTGTTCTTACTTATTTTATATTTCTTGCAGATATATTCCCTTGGTTTGTAGAAGCACAGAACACAATTCTGTTGCTCTGTGCTCTTGTAGCCTTTGCTGTAGGAACACTTGTAAAAGCAGTGGGACACGTGTGGGTGTGATGCGCATGCTGAAGAGAAAAGGTGGTTTGTGCTGCGTCTTTTCTTACAGGTGGTGCTGACTCCCATAATGGTTCTTCAAAACGTGCCTCCTTTACAGTTTTTCTGTGGAAATCGGTCTGGCCATGATGTATTTTAATTAGCAGTGTTTGTTTTTTCATTTAGTTGAAAACTGGTGATCTGCTGTTGAGAAAACAAGGTCACGTTTGGCGGTTTGGGGAGGTCCTGGCCAGACAGATGGTCAGGGTAGAGTTTTTCGAGAAGCCTGTCCGTGTGTTCTGTGTGTTATCTGTACGTTCCCAGTTCAGTAGCAGCCACAGAACGAGCTTTGCTCTGTGGAGCCGGCCCGGGGCCGCGCTGGCCCCCCTGGGGTGGCCCTGGGCTCCTGGGGAGGCAGCGCTGGCCTGCAGAGCTGGGGTGGGACACAGAGAGGCTGGTTTCGAAAGAAATCATTTAATCTGTCTGTGAAAGGTGCAAAAGTGGCATTAATACAGTTTGTGCTTGCAGATGTCCTTTGCAATATATAAGACTGGTATCAGAGCGGGGGATTCTCTGAAGAGAAGCATCTCCTTGTCTTTGTAGCAAATGCACGTCGCCCAGCTTTAACAGATGCTGATGGCTGTTAAACCACAAAACTTTGCTGTGCTTCTGTAAATATTGTTTCTGTTTTTAAAGATTGTTTGGCTGTCTTTAAGATCCAAATTACTTATTATGGCTAAAAAAATGTTGTTACCAAGCCAACTTTTCAAATGGGTAAGTTCCAAGTTGCTGGTAGAATGTGTAAAACTGAAAATGCTAAGAAAGAGAGAGAAAACAAATCTTTTTTTTTTTTCTTTTCTTCCTCCCCTCACCCCCTCCTCAGGTGGGAATAGCAACATGTCAGTTTGCCAGAGCTTATGGTTTAAAGGTTTTGGGTACAGCAGGAACTGAGGAAGGCATAGACCTGGTTCTGAGAAATGGCGCTCACCAAGCCTTTAATCACAGAGAAGCTAATTACCTTGATAAAATTAAGGTAAGTGTGTGTCAGTGCTAGGTGGTGCAGTGTGTATTGTTCTTACTAACAAAATGTGAACAGGTTTTGCACAAGTTTTTTAAAGTAGATTTTTGTAGGAGCAATAGCGTGCTGCCTTTTCCACTTCCACCCAAGGAAAAACTTTTCCAGGCTGGAAGAGCTGAGTTGTCTCTCAGGCAATGGCATGCAGAACCTCTGGCATTCCGGGAGTTTCAGTAGGGCAGCACGTTGTAATTCGGCGCATCAGACCATGGTGAAATTAGACTGAGTAGCTGTCAGCCTTAGTACAAAGGCTGTGCTTAGAACTGGGGCAGTGAACTGTAGGATGTGTATCTGTAGCACGTGAAATACGTGGTGGTAGCCCAGCAGTAACTGGGGTGGTGTGGATAAGACCTTGTGTCCTGTGCAGGCGTGTGCAGGGGCAGGAGGAGTCAATATCATCATAGAAATGCTCTCCAACGTCAACCTCGCTGCGGACTTGCAGCTGCTGTCCTGCGGGGGAAGGGTGATGGTGAGTATTTCCTGTCACTGGCACTGCGGGTGCGTTCAGCGCCGTGGGTCAGCGGTTGTACCTTGGCCTCCTTTAATCTGTTCCAGGTTGTGGGCTGTAGAGGTCCCATTGAGATCAATCCGAGAGACACCATGAGTAAGGAGTCCAGCATAATTGGAGTTAGCCTGTATCTTGCAACTGAGGTGAGAAACGTTTTTATTTTAAAGAGGTTTTGGTTGATTTGTTCCCACCCCTGTTTCCCGTTGAAATCGTTCGTGGGAGTGAGTGAAGGCGTAACTCCGCTGTAAGGCCCTTGTTTGTTCCTTTACGTTTTGATTTCCTCCCAGAAGCCCCTGAGCTATTTCTCAGGGTAGGAAGCCTCCCTTCACGCTCGTGGTCGCCCGTGCCCCTGCGGGGGCTCGTGGTGACGCTGTCCCTCCCGCAGGAGGAGCGCCGTGCCTGCGCGGCGGCCGTGCTGCCGGGGCTGGAG